TTGAAAGTCGCGAATTCTCTTCCCTTTTTCTACCCTACCCACCTACTATATAGTTCCTGCAATGTGTTAACTGTCCGCCAATTATACATAATGCACACATTACTTAAACAACACACTTCGCACTTTTATGTTGCTGACACCACTAATAAAAGACGGAAAGACATAGTCTGCACTTCGCAATCCATCTCCAAATTTATTTATACAAATAGATTTTTTACTTTCCTCGGTCCGTTTCTGTACAATAAATTAAATAAGACTCTTAACATATATGCCCTAAATTTATATAACTGTAAAATAGCCGTATTTAAGTATCTTCAATGTTTGACATATGACTTAACCGAGGAGCTACTTGTCGAGTCTGGGAACTGGACACCAGCAACACGACAAACCGCAATGGCACCACAATACAGGATCGAGTGGGTATCAAATAAATTTGTGCTAGTCCGCATATACGGAATTAGCAATGCATTCAGAGCTCCCATTAACGCCAAATTACGTCTATGAGTGGGCAAACGCGGTAGTCGAGGCCTTGAATCTGACGTGAACCGATACTGACCAATAGTGTCCTCCAAAGCCCTCCTCAATCGCTCACTCACCTGGTAACTTACACTACTCGGCAAACCCTCCTCTTCACCACCAGAGTCTACCCTCGCCGCTTGTGGTGTCGATGACGACACCGTAGGCGACGACGAGGCAGGGGGCTCTGACGTCAAGAGGGGAGTTGTCCGAGCAGGCATCGCCTCCAGGCGGAGTCGATCAAGTACAGACTGGTCCAACAGCTTGCACCGTTGAATAGCCCGCACTTGATCCGACAGTCGTTGTGCAGAAACGGTGATGGTCGGCTCAAGGTTCTGAAACAAAGGCAGGATCCGATCACGATACGCAGTCAGGACGGTTCCCCCTTCTGTAGCCCCATAATAGGCGCGCATGCAGTTCTCATTCATGGTTTGAGTCCATCGCATGCGGCGCACTACACCACCGGTAGCGGGGGCCGTGCGCGAGGCAGGTTGCCTCGCTGACCCCAAGCGTGCCGGCAGCGGCGGACGTCCCCGTCGCGCAGGTCGTGGTGGCGGCGGCGGCGTCGTTGGCCCGCCCTCGTCGCTCGACGCGCCCGTGTCAGGGGGAGTTACAAACTCTTCGCCCGACGAGGAGCGCGGAGACGATGACGAGGACAGGGCGGGAGGGGGTGGTGGGCGTGCGCGCAGAATCATAATGTGCTGCCTGCCAAGGCAACGTCCATGTCGTTGATGCAGTTGACGAAATACATTTTTCCGGCACTCATGTATTCAACAAAAGTTATGTTCATCAGATTTTCGTTTCTCCTCGCCAGCTTCTCTTGCATTAAAGCTGTCGCTAACATAATATAATCACTATTTACTAGCTGCAGCTCGATTCGAGGGTATGACATTTCTTTGCGGTGCCTATTACACAAACACGATTTAGTCTGTTTGATAACACTGTACCTATTATTTTGCACAAACATAAATAAATTAGGGAATAACCCGATTTAGATAAGATTTTAACAATTAAATGTCCATATTTTCATAAAATTATTCAGGAAAATTTACAAACAAGACATGACATTGGCAGGTGACATGACATTATTATTATTATTATTATTATTATTATTATCAACGTACATACTTTGTATGACCTTATGATTTGAATATTTGAATAAAATATCTGATTGGAATTTGAAAATAAAGAAGATTAAGATATGAATGAAACTGTCAAGTCTGTGTATCAGTAGACTTTAATCATGTTCAATAACTATCGAACTGCAGCACCATAATATGTTTTGGAAAGGGCTCAAAGACAGTTAAAATTCCGAAGCTAGACTATGAATACAAAAACTTTAAGGAGCTCTACCTCTCAACCATTCTTTAGATTTTTAAATAAAATCAGACTCTTTTGGAATTTATGTAAAGGCACTTAGATTGGTTTCCTACCACCGAGTAAGGCAATTTTACAGTTGAGATGCTGTAAAACATATCCTTACGACATAAACGTCAAATAAGAGTTAACGTTTCACGAGAGAAACCAGACTTTTATTGCTAAAATGATGATAATGAGTAAGATTTCGCAAGCGTTGGTGAGGTTTTCTTGAACATTGAAGCATTTTGAAGATTGTTGTGTAAGTAACATTAGTGATATTTAATTTAATTCCGTGCTTTCGTAGATGATGTATTTAGGTAGTGTCGATATTGTGTACAACGGACTACCAAGCCAGAGGTCGCGGGTTTGATTCCCCTACTTTGCACATTTAACGACTAACTTGGGATAGGAAAGCGATTATAAAATCAAAATTATAGCTAATGTTAAATCTTGCTGAAAATCCTGGTGCTAGTCAAGAATAAAACAAAGGTAAGACTAAATAAGACATCATAAAGACAATAATGGAGGAAAACTTTGTGACTTTTCTTTCTCCACTATCAAAGACAAAAGTCGAGCCTCGCAAATGCATTTTCATAACTACAGGACCACCCATAGTATGGGTAACATATTGGTAACCCATAACATATTATGTCCAAATAAACCCTGTATTTGGACATAATATGTTATGGGTTAGGTAAATGGGTATATGAGCAGACACATGTTAACATGGGCATATAAATGGTATGGTGAAGTCAGAAAGAAGAACGGTCATCTGTGACCCAGGCCCGACAGAAACGAGACATACCTCAGTTTTTTTGTCATGTCTTAATTAGTAAAATTATATATTTTTTATATTCGAAATCTATGTATAACACCAAATTATTACCCTTTGTTTTTGTTCAAGCGTCATACAAAAACTAATACATAATGCCTATTTATCATCAAAATTGGTAAATGTATGTACCTAAATAGCTGCTATGGAATGTATCTAGGTGACCTGGAGATACAGCCGGATTATACAGGGTGGAAACGAGAAGTTACAACATCCAAAAATTCAATGTTACCAGCTTCCATAATCTGTAACCTATTATTGGCACCATTTGAAAGTGCTCGTGAAGCGGTATCCTTCCGTTTGGCCAAATTACTTTTCGCCAAATTTCACTTCGCAAACAACTTATCGCCAAAGTTTCATTTCCCAAATGAACTTTTAGCAACTGTACTTTTCGCAACTAATTCATTTGGTCAAATTATCATTTGGCAAAATTTTACTTGGCAAATGTTTATATAGCAAATGTTTTATTTTGCCAAACATTATATCCCAAATAATTTGTTTGGTCAAATTGACACTTTTACATACTTACCCACTGTTACCCACAAATCAAAGCTTATGGCACATGATCATGGTTTTCACAAGAATTGTATGTAAAACAAAGAGATTGCAGAAAATAGTATGGTTGCAGAAAGTAGGTATTGCCCAAAATACTAGGTTAGGTTAGGTTAGAACAGTGACCCTTAACGCGCGAAGGCGAGCGAACGGAGCGAGCGAAGCGAGCGAAGTGAGCGTGCCGCGGCAGCGGCCGCCGAGCGCTAGAATCACCTCTATTGTTAATGAATCATTTGGAAATTTCAATAAAAAGAGTGAAATATGAAAATTAATTTAGAACAAATTTCATATTAACTACCCACTAAACAAAATAATAACCACAAGCTAATTTGTATTCCATTCTATGCACCTATCAAATTATTTTGTAAATAGTTTATCGTGAAATATTTTTGCCAAATGAAACATTTGGCAAAACATACTTTGCCAAACAATAATTTGCTAAACAATAATATGCCAAAAACGACATTTGCGAATTAAAAGTTTGCAATAAGTTGTTTTGCCAAATGAGAATTTGCCAAATGAAAATTTGCGAAACGTTGTTTGCGATGTGATAATTTGGGAAACGTTTTTTGGCCAAACATTAGTAATCCAACTTTTTCGTAACAGGCAGTAAAATCAGCGATTTTATATAGAACGGTAAGTCTTCATTTAACCATTTTTTGTAATACGTGTGGTACGAACATTTAGTAAGCTTTTATATTTGCTGTAACAAATTTTATCAAAAAAATACTTGTTTCTGATCTCATTTTGTCTAATATTTCGTTACGTTTTTTACGAATTTCGTTACGTTACGAAAAAGTACAACATAATGCTGAGTGTATACTGTTATTACCTGACTAAGCATAGTAATATTCACTACTTAATTTATTTCAAAAAATATAGAGCGTTAATAACAAAAGGATTGGATACTATCTGCTTTACAGAAGTGCCACCAGCAAAAAATTATCAAATCATTTAGATTACGTTTTTATGTGATTACTTCTTTTGTTTTTTTAGGAATGCCGCCAAAAACCAATGCCGAAAGGCAAAAAGCTTACAGAGAACGACTCAAAATGGATAAACATGATGGAACAAAAATAATTTTATTAAAATAGTATGAATGATTACTCCCTTATTTTATTTCTAACCCCTTAATATTACCCCGTATTTGGGTGCATACTTACAAATATTTCGAATTGAATAAATGAAGAGCATTCACAATATTTCGCCAATGTATAATAAGCCTTATGGCCTTACTATTTCGTTACTACCGTTTCGTTACGTACATTTTTTTTGAGAAATACTCAGATACATTCCATAGCAGCTGTAATAGACATTTAGGTACATACATTTACCAATTTTGGTGATAAAAAGGCATTTTGTATTAGTTTTTGTATAACGCCTGAACAAAAACAAAGGGTAATATTTTGGTGTTATACATTGATTTCGAATATAAAAAATATATAATTTAACTAATTAAGACATGACAAAAAAACTGAGGTATGTCTCGTTTCTGTCGGGTCTGGGTTTTTTTTGTATGGGGCGTGACCGTTCTTCTTTGATATCATCATTTACTCGTAATCTTTTTAAATTTTCATACAAAATAAATTTTATAAAATCCGATTTGTATGAACATTAAAATAATTAAAATGAAGATATTAATTTTCTGACTTCACCATACCATTTATATGCACATGTTAATATGGGCTAGTGTCGGCTCATATACCCATTTACCTAACACCCTGTATAAACTTATGCATACCTGCACTCTGGCCTCCGTGAGGTTGATTTTGAGGGCGAGGTCCTCCCGCGTGAATACATCGGGGTAGTGCGTCTGCGCGAACGCCGTCTCCAGCTCTTCCAGCTGGAACACGTACAGATGTATTAGAACCGTGGAATTGGGCAGTTGACACCATTAGCTACCTGACACTACTTCTGAGGGCTTAGTGCGAGTTCATCAAACGACTTCGTAGCGACTGCATAAAAAATGATGAATTGTACAATGTACAGTCGCGGAATGAAAAGGTTCGTCACCTTAATGTCGGTTTTCGCTTGCACTAGGTACTGTAAGAGTCAAACCTGCCAACATAACCGTGCAAGAAACAGTGCTGCTAACATTTAAATAAATATGACGTTTGCTAACGAATAAGGTTTTGCTTGTTTATTTTTCTATCCCATCAGTGCAGTGTTACAAAATGTAGTTTTTTTTTATTTAATAGATAATGGCAGGTTGAACCAACAAGAAGGTTTTAGCACAGATAATATTAATACGTTTTAGTTTATCAATCATAATAATCTTCTTGACAAGTTAAATCGTCAAACAACTTTGATCTGAATAATTTTGAACTTTACTGACGAACAGTTAAAGATTATTTTCTCTAACTCGAGATTATTCTGTAACATAGTTTCAAAAGGTAATAATGTGCTCGCGATTCGTTGAGGGAATCAATTTGAAAACTGACGAACCTTTTCATTCCGTGACTGTACCTACAGACAGCGTCTCTAGCAGATACTTTCTAGAACTAAAATCTTCATAGATTTTTGATGCACTCGCTAGCGACGACGTTCAATACAAACTCGCACTGAGCACACTGGTACCATAGCAATTAAATTCTTTTACAAAAGTAACAAACTCATGGTAGATAGATAGAAATACTTTATACACCACACAGAAAAGACATACATTCAAAAGATAAGATTTAGTGGGAGTCTGATCAGATTTTTTCGACCCAAAAGGCCAGTGTTTAATTCCCAAGAACAGCCAAACACATTAACGGCCAAATTGCTTGGCCAGATCCTGGATATAAGTAGAGATAAAGGAGTGGGAACAAGACGTGGGCAGTGGGCTTAAATTAGTTTCCTTTAGAACTGCTACGAGACAACCTAACATAACGACCTCAAGAACTGATGATCATATGAAATCCAAAGCATTTTCCATATGCAAAAAAGAGGATAACTACTCAAATCAAAGAAAAAGGAGGTCGAACCCTGTCTACTCACGGACATTGCCAGCGGGCGGCGTGACCGGAGGGAGCGGCGAGCGTAAGGCAAACGAACGAGCAATGTTCGGTTCGCGAGCGAACATCGAAAAAGACGATCCTGACGCACTTGTTTTATACCGAATAGACAATTATTTTCATACAGTCCACTCTTTTCATTTATTAACTTCCACTACACTCACTATCGAAGTAACAAACCCAAAAAGAAAAGGAAGAAGAAGATATAAGAGGATGGATACTCACTTGCTGCAACGTGAACGTGGTCCGGTTCCGCCGTTGTTTGCGACGGACGAATGTGTCATCGTGGATCGCTGGGTGGTACGAGTAGCTCGTGTCTGGGGACAAAAGACGTAGGTTAGTAAAAACATATCTTTTTAAGCTTTAATGTATAAAAAATACGTTCGTGTTCGTTCCTTCATCTCTACCAACGTTCACTGCTGAATAAAGGCCTTCTTCAAAGATTTCCACAACGACAAACTTGTAAGTTTGCGTATCATCTTTTACTTTCTTTTTTTAATAATAACACAATGAAAAACGGTTTAAAGTTCAAGAAGAGAATATTAGAAACTCATACTTTGGCCTTTACACGATAATTTAAATAATTACATAACTTTGTTTTTAAGGACTTATTTTCCATTACAAAATCTGTCAAATCAAATAAAAAGATTTCAATAAAGCTGCATCATTAACTCCCCATAAATAAACAAGTAACAATTACTGGCCGTAAACGGTCGTTACAGCATTCCTCCACAAAAGTTGTCTATGGTGTCCCATAGAGCTTCGGAAGCGCGCGCCATTACGCGACGCCGCCCCATAGATAAAACGATCGGATAGTGTCTATGGAATTGATGAGGTGGGGACACTGTGGGGTGTCCATAAAGCTGGTTGCATTCAGAATTATTTTAACATTTATAGGGATGTATTATTTGGCATTTGGGAAACGATTGAAAATTTTCAAAACTTCCTGAATTTTCACGCGCGTTTACATTCTATTATTTTAAAATTATCGGGTTTTTTTAGTCGAAATTGCAATCAACTTCGTTTAAACATAGGAAAAGGATCATTGTCCATATTATGATTTTTTTTACAACTAAAGTCTAGGGTTGCAAATGCTTTTCCGCTGCATTAATAACAAGTACTCTCATATCGTTTCTTTAAGTAAACCAAGAACAATGTTGTGCTCTCTAATTTAATTTAGTTAAATAGAAAAATAATGAGCAACTAATAATGTTAATTACAATTTGAAACTAACATAACTCTGAAATAAACTTACTGAAATTGTAACTGAAAGTCACAATCGTTGATCAATATAAATCATTGTCACCATTCGAGCAATTACAGTTCTCGTGACAATATTAGGGCTCAACATTTCTATTATTCTGCCTAATGCGACTCTATTCGTGGGACCTCTGCTAATGGCCAATATAGACGATTGTCACAGCCCTCTGTTATTGAGTAGATTGAGTTCAGGATTGAAGATTGGGAAAATCATTAATGATCTAAGATTTTGTTCTATAAATTAGGTACTTAGTCGGCGAACTTCGTACCGCCAAGTCAAATAATGTGTGACATGAAGTGTCAATGGCGGAAAAGAGATAGGTACCTAATTTATTTATTATCAAAGTTTTCATATAGATACCTTCTTTTAAACAATTTATCACCTATGTTTATTAGATACAATGCAAGATTTTTTCAAATCGGTCCAGTAGTTCCGAAGCTTAATTACTAACAAACAAAACTTTCCTATTTATAATATTAGTGTACATTAATTTACAAATGGCACCGATCTGACTATCGTTTCATCTACAGAACCAGCACAACTTTTCCGATGCTCAAAGCAATCAATTTAAAACTTCAACATGGCGGGCTATTTTAAAAGCATCACACTCGTGTATTTTCGGGCTGCAGTTAAATGGAAGATTAATTGGACGTATTCGTATCATGGAGACTCACTTGGATTAAATTGTTGATGGTTATGACTTTTTAAAACCAATTTGTCTTGGTTGGGTTTGACAGGATACTAGATTAAGTATTTTTGTGTTTTGCTACAGTTACTGTTATGTTCAATAAACAGTAATATCAGGAGGCACTCCATCTTATTAAAATTTCTTACTTCACGAGTGGACACTTTTTTGAACTGGCTCGCACAGCTTGTGATTAGGTCACGCCAAAAGTTGACATTTCGAAAGTCGGAAACTTCGAAAAAACCGACCCAAAATGCATTTTTTTAAAGTGGTATTTAACTGTTACCGTCTGAAAATGTGTCGTAAAAACAAAATGTTAAAACACCACTGACAATTTTCTCAAGCATTCCCGCGGTCTTTAGAAAACTGCTAACAGGCTAAAGCCCAGTTTTTTGATGCATAGTTAAAATAACTAATTGTTAAATTTTGCTACTAATGGTTAAATATTAACAAAATGTAAACAAATAGTTCAAAAATGTACTAAAAGTCAAGGTAACCATTGTTCGAAAAACATTTTTTTCTGATATTTTACCACTTGTCATTTGACATCTGTCAAATTTGACCATTAGTAATTATAACTACGAATCATAAAACCGGGCCTAAGTAAAACCTGAATAAGCTGTTGTCATAACACAAATACATATTTAGCACCGCCCTGTACAAGTTTTACTGCCAGCTTTTCCAAGTTTCATTGGCAAAACTGAAATTCCGTTGATTCCAAATGAACGCGTATTCCATGCCCGCTTGGAATGCGTGCGAGTTGTCATTTGCGCATAACAAAGCATGAAGCGAGGCGACGCGGCGCAACGGGGCGCGTAGTATCATCGCACCTGCTAATTAGTGCCGGTAATTAGGACATTGGGAGGGATGCACGTGAATTGGATAGGATTGGATCAGAAACTATACTAAATAGTTTCAATTCAAAGACATTTTTATACGTTAAAAAAATAGTTTGTTCGACTTGAAACATGATTGATTCTGATAAACTGTGTTTTAGAACCTAATATTTCTAATTGATCAATAAGAATATCTGAATGGGTACCTATTTCAAATTAGCAAATTAGCCGGGGTGACTTTTTTCTGGTCGAATTTATGTAAAAATTCTGTAGCTATGATATTTGAACATTAGGTAGGACAACAATGAAGATAAACTATGAAAACTCATATAGGTAAAAAAATGACATGATACTATCGTTTACCTACTTGGGTATTTTGGTTCCAAACCCCGTTATCACTGTAACTTCTAAACAAAGCACCGTCCAGATTAAGAAGCTTATAAATATTTTCATTAATTGAATGTTAATAATTGAAGCTCATCAGGCTGGTAGAAAAATCCCTCGGAGGCGGAAATTAAAAAGTGTTGGCTTCCGCCGGAAGCTGGAGTGCAGCAAAAAGTTGGGGATTACTAAAGCTGCTAAGCTCGCCTCTTTGTGCTAGCCAAAGATTGACCGTAAACGTATCGGAATTCCTACTTCGTTAGGTAGTTTATTGCTTAAATACTGCTATAGAAGTGAAGTGAATTTTGGAAAAAATATAGACCATATTTTAGACTAGCTTTCCGCCCGCGGCTTCGCCCGCGTGGAATTTTGTCTGTCACAGAAAAACTTTATCGCGCGCGTCCCTGTTTCAAAAACCGGGATAAAAACTATCCTATGTTCTTTCCCAGGACTCAAACTATCTCTATGCCAAATTTCATCAAAATCGGTTGCGAGGTTTAAGCGGGAAAGCGTAACAGACAGACAGACAGACAGACAGACAGACAGAGTTACTTTCGCATTTATAATATTAGTTGGGATTACAAATTAGTTTTCTTTAATCACGAAAACAGCTCAATGATTTAGGCATCCAATGTTGCCGAATCGATCCCCAAAGATCGCTAAAAATATAGTTAAAACATCAACTACGTATGTTTCCTTGTTTCTGAGACCTTATTTGTTTTTGTTTAATTTTAGGCTACCCAAAGATGGCGATAACAGATGACTATAAAATTTAAACACATTAATTGTAGAGATAAGTCACTCTTTACACCCCACAAATATACGGAAAGTCAAGAAAGGACCACCAACATATTTAATTCACAAATAAACTTGTGCCTTCAGTATTTTCATTCAATCGCAATAGCACAGCCCTGAGGAGGCACGGCGTCCATCGGCAGCTATGAGATTCGGCTAACGAGCGCCGAGTATTCCAGGCTCAAATTGCCTTATACATTTTTAATAGATTCGTTTAAGCCGCTTTTTTATTCACTAGCCGCCGACCGCTTTTTAAACCCCCACCCACCCTAGCATTTCGTTAATAGATTTTAAAAATTAATACATTTACCCAATCATCCGACAGCGACATTTTTATAACTAGTTTACTGCCTTTGATCGTGTTTTTAAAAAATTACGCGGGCCTAATCAAAAGTGACGTGATCCTTATTGGGTTATCTGTAACTGGATTACTGCGAGTGGCGCGACTCAAAAACTATTTTATGAATAATAGATGGCGCTGGCGGCGACCAATCCCCGGGGGCCCCGCCCATCCCCCGCCCGCCTTCTATTCATTAGCACATTGCCACCCCCGGGATAGCAGATGGTAAAAGAAACTGATTTGGAACGTTTGAGGTTATGCTCGCCCGCTAATCTACTGAGGAATGAACGCGAAAGGGTATTTTTTACTCGTAATTAAGTTTTACGACTTTTATACGTGTCTCATGTTCTCTTAGGTTGTAGATAGTGCACATTTGACACTGCTTAAAATTAGCAAACAGATTGTGATAGTGACTGTTTTTAAACACAAAGGTATGAGTATGATTGATTTAGGTAATGTGAAACACACAGTGAAAACTGTAAAATTACGAACTTACATTCCTTAAAAATGCATTATAAAACATTGATGAAAAAACATGTCTTTGTGTTTAAAAAAGAAAAAATGTGTTTTAATTACTTAAACAATATTTTTTTTATGAGGGGGTATTTAAAAGTTGATTGTTATTAAATGATCAAATCAATTTATCTCATGCAGATAACCTTTAATAAAACGATCTACCAAAAAGGCAAATTCAAATTCTTGATTATTTATTCAATCTTAAATTAAAACGTATTTAACCCATCAACGGCCACAGATTCGTCCGGATCGATTAATTAGTGAAAATCGAGTTCTCGGAAACAAGGCGAGAGTTTAACTCGAGTAACGCAGTTAGAGTCAAGTTACGAACTTGCGGCAACTTCGTTGGTACTGTCGTTCGATACGTTGAAGTGTATTTTGTAGCATGTTTAATTTTGTTATTCGAGTATGCTGAAACGTTCTGCTTAACAAATCAATTAAGAACACAAAAAAAAATGGAAAGACCTTGGAACCGATAGACGATTACGTTAAAACAGTTGATTTGTCTGCAACCAGTGGTTAGTGATATTAAATAGGAAGGATATTTATGAAAAAAAAAATTAATTCATTGATTGAAAAACTCCCTAGATGCTACCTACTGAAAATTTGTAAATCGAATCCAATAAGTTTTATAACTAACACACATTATTTGCCTTTTTTCCCTTTTTATTATTTTTGACGGCCAGGAGGAGGACAGTCAGTGCCAAAATACTGGTCAAAATTGAATAAAGTATTTTAGATTTAATTTGATTTTGATTTGATTTTTAGCAGTGTAAAGTCAGGTCAGAAAATATACACGTTTAACCTCTTTTAACAAATTAAACGTTCATATTGCCCTTGTTCATTTGCAAAGTAGCGTTTTAAGTAAATCGATGGGTAATCGAGTTCGTCAAAAACAAGAGAAGCAAGGGCCAGTTAACGGTTAACGTAGTTACGCGACCCAACCGAATTATGGAACTTTCTGCCGAGGCATCCACTAAATGTTAAAGCTAAATCTAAAACTAAATTTATTTGAATAGGCAGATTACTATTAGTGTTTGTTCAAATGTAATAATGGACTTTGGGTCTGCCATTGTGGAAATCATTGGGGGAGGCCTATGTTCAGCAGTGGACGTCCTACGGCTGAAAAAGCACAAAAGTTGTAGGGACATAATCAACATTAGGAGAAAGTCTTCTACAACAATCGGTTGCAAGTAGGTAATCCACCATTGAGTAATTAAAAAAAGTCTTATAGGATAATGATTCACGAAAGGGTCTCATGGCATGTAACCTATGTCAAAAAAGGTAGATTTTAAGGGGCTCTACATGCATTTTTCCTTAACTTTTAGGCTCTACCTGTGCTTCGAAATAAAGGTTTATTTAGAAGCACTGGTAGAGCCTGCCATAGGTATGTCAAGTACTGACAAGAAGGACAAATAACGTGCTCATCTATAGCTGGAAGTTATTTATGTAGAAAAGAAAAAAAATTAGTAAGAAGTGGCTGAAAAGACAACGGCCTCTAACTCTCACAGCATTAACCATAGAGCTTCTAGGATACCAAGAAAAATAAATAATTCGCTGCCTGCTGCTATTTTTCCCAAACACCGGGCCTTTTCAAGTCGAGAGTGAATAGGCACGTACCATCCTAGACTGCATCTCACTTAACATCAGGTGCGATTGCGGTCAAATACATGCCTTGTTCTGCATAAAAAATATTTAAAAAAGTACTTACAAGGATGCGAAGCCGTGAATGGGTACTCGAGGGTCGGCAGCCTGTGCTGATGGGGCGGCAGGCTGGGCGGGCAGTGGTAGCAGAAGAGACCTCGCCCTCCGCCGCCGCCGCTCGCCAGCTGAGAACAAACAGCTAAGTTAGTACAGCTATTGAACCTACTTGTAACACCCAGCGTGCCACGAGGGGTTAACGGGACTTTTTGTATTGCACAAAAATATGGTTTCTTTCTTTTTTTAAGTCGTTTATTTTCTGCAAATAGGATTCTATAAAGCGCTACACGTCCCTGTATAACTTTAACCCTACCACTGCTTCGGCACAACACACACAATAGTGGGCCAGTGCTGAGAAAAGACAGCGCTAGAAACTCAGCGCTAGAGTCATTTTTGTCAGCCTCTTTTTCAGATGTGAAAATACTTTCAGGTGCCTTCAGTGAAAAGGATCAAATTTAGTCAAAAGAAGTTACATACAGGATGTCCCAAAAAGTAGTGTGAAGCCGAAGCCCAGAGGTAGAGCATTACTAGGTATACCATACACATTTGGAACATCCTGTATTTGGGAATATTATCGGGTTCCTACTTCAAGCCAATTAGAAATTATTCTAAATTATTTTAGGATAATAAAATGGGCTCTTCTATTATATTATATTCTATGTTTTTTTAATGTTTGATAGAGTATCAAAAAGAAATCAATTGTAGGTACATGCAAAGCTCACTTCTCTCCTTACATAACCACATCTGTAGAAATGCTCAAATAAGTAAGTTAGCGTTAGTGCATCAATATACAACATATTGAAGTTATTGACCGAGTTTATTGTTGCCACTAAGTCCTATTAAAGTCATAGTCCTTTCTAGTTCACAAAGTATGCTACATATTAGCGAATGTTAATATCGGAGACCGACAATCGCACAATGTAACTACGAATATAACTATAACACAATACATGCGAGGCTGAAATTAGCCAACAATCACAAAAGCCGCATTAGAAATCGAGAAACTGTAATCACAATCGATCTAATACTGCGAGGATTTGCATAGAAACATTGCCGCGTAATCATAAGGCGCTCGGGCCTTGATCGGCGCGCGCGCAGAATGCAAACGATGCGGCTGATCTGTGCCGGTGCGCGGTGTTGCAAGCTGATATCATAGAAAGTCCCCAGTTGAAAAATTGGTGCAGGGAATATGGGTGATTTAAATCATGATAGTGTGTACAGACGGCACTTGGAGCTATTATTTTTTTTGGAAAGTCGCTCTTAATACAACTGCATAATAACTTACCAAAACACGTGCTTATAATATGCATGTGCTATTATGCAAATAAAAATGTTGTCAAATCTGTTTTACAAAATTTTTCAGATAGAAGTAAATAGAGTTTGTCGTTTTTGATGGAAAAAAATAAAATAAAATGAGATTTTTATTACATAAATTGTTATTATGACATTTTTTTATCAATAGCAGACTTCGTTCGTTCGATCGTTTCAGCCAAATGACGTCCAATAGAAAAACTTATGAAAGAAAATATTGTTAAACATAAATTACATTACTTTAATAGTTTTTTCAGGCAAATCTTAGTTCCCTATTTTCAATATTCAGTTGTAAATTCTTATTTATTTATTTAGCAAAACTAGTTATCTTATTTTTATTCTATTTTACTTTCTACCGCCTTCCTTATTCATCAGAAATAATGTAGGATTATAAAGGTAAAATATTTTTTCAAATCGGTCTAGTAGTTTCGAAGCCTATTCAATGCAAACAAACAATCAAATCTCCTCTTTATAATATTAGTGTAGATCACATACTCGTACACTGGCAACTCTATCCCAACAATCGAGATGTAAGGGCATTGTATCGTGATCATGCAATCACTCGCACTTATTGTCGCTTAGTTTTATCGAATATTAAGCTGTGATGATGTGGCTTAATGACCTAGCTCTACAATGTAACAATAGCTAGATTTGTATTATGCAGACTGTTAATTGTCTTATTCTCTGAAACTGGTATTTTTACTGGCAAAGAATATTTTGTAGCAATAAAATTAAACTCAATTTCATAGGCACAGGTATACCAAACTATCGATTTTTAATTAGTCATATCGATTAGTTTTTTCAACTCTAGAGATTCTGGATTTGGGATATGGCAGGATATGGCATAAAATAGTACTATAATCACTTTGTGTACGTTTTTGTTGTTTTTAATTAAAAGTTCATCTTTTCATCAATTTAGTAGTAATTAAACAACTGTTTGGGCGATTGAACCATTTCAGTCTCTGTCCTAATTTGTAAACAGTTATGATCCACAGTATACCTAACGAAATTATGACAAACATCGATACTTCAAAATGCAACTAAGAATTTAGTCACGAATGGTAAAAACAATTTACCCACGAATCGATAAAAACCTCAATGCAATATATTAACAATTTAAAGGCGTTACAACAAATAAACTTGTAACACCATTCCCCCAGGCGACAAAGGACACTGCGCGCATAAATCAATTAATTTCGATGAGCAAATTGCTAGATTGCATCGTGCGACTGTACTGCACTATTCGCGATACCTCCTCCGGTAGGGATGTAGGGTAGAGCCAATTGTTCATGTATATTGCACCGCTTAAAAGAATAGCACCAATGTAGTATTTTGCGACAAAACTGATTGGTTTGATGTGTTTTTGATAGTTTGATTTCAAAATGATTTGATTTGAAAAGTTAATAATTTGATGAAACTAAAGCTTTTCAAGTTTAATCAAATTATTTCAAACTGTAACTTTTTCAAATAAGCACTTTAATTGAAATCTAATTAGTTTATAACCATAAAGTTAGGTGTGCACTGTTTTGTCTGACTTACAAAAAATAACAACTATTTAATTGTTAAACTGCCCAACAGATGTTGAAATTAAACACAAAAAAACATAGATCATTTCAAAACATTGATTTTAAACTGACCTCATCAGACCGACCAAAGCTTAGCACGAATCTAAGGCTGAGTTTCAATGACCGGTGTTTTTTGTATGGAGTTTGACAGATTTTTGGCGTTTGTCAAAGTTAAAGTTAAGATGGTGCAACTCAGCCTACTGGTATCAGATAGTCATGGAAGTCTACCACCACCTACATATTTGAGTACGTAATCATTTCATTATTACCACAAAGATTTTAAAATTGAGCATATTACCATCTTTATTGCATCCACAACTAGCTCGTCATCCGTTTAGTCTCAATTCACACAATCAGCGCAGCTAGCAAATCATTTCCAGCATTCCGTAACAATGTTTGAGAGGAAAATGGCAATGAAATTCAATTGTAGAACCGAGACCCACGTGCGGCCCGCGCGGCGTCGCGCAAGCAAGTGACGTTAATGGCCAATGAATTGTATGTGATGCGCACACGCAGCGTTATCAACTTGCACGACTCGTGATATGACTTCAACTCAAATTGCACTTTTCAGGGCACAACAGACGTCCCAAATCTTCAGTGAAGTTCTAACAGTGTGTAAGTAAAATTGTGCATTTTATAGAAGACTAGCTTTCCGCCCGCGGCTTCGCCCGCGTGGAATTTTGTCTGTCACAGAAAAACTTTATCGCGCGCGTCCCTGTTTCAAAAACCGGGATAAAAACTATCCTATGTTCTTTCCCGGGACTCAAACTATCTCTATGCCAAATTTCATCAAAATCGGTTGCGAGGTTTAAGCGGGAAAGCGTAACAGACAGACAGACAGACAGACAGACAGACAGACAGACAGACAGACAGACAGACAGACAGACAGACAGACAGACAGACAGAGTTACTTTCGCATTTATAATATTAGTTGGGATTGGTCGGAAAAAAGCACGCGGTCTTTCTTCACCCAATGGCATCAAAATGAAAATAGTAAAACCGTCAAAAAATACTTACGCACTGTTAGAATTTCACTGACGAAATATCTAAGCTGGCCCTACTACTTCAGGACAATATATTCGTATCGACTGGTCTTGAGAAGAAGTGGTGGAAGTTTCTACTTTTTACAGGAAATACAATATTCAAGATATTAGTAATAATTGTGAGCTAAGCAGGTAGAGTCCTTGCCTCTAATCATTTACTATTATGTATCCTTTTCCCAGGGATTCCGTTTTGGTTTTTATGTGGATCCGTGGATGTCTTAAAGGTGACTAAGGGCATGCAAACTTCAGTTTCCCAACGCAGAGAAAAAGTCCCTTTTTGCGTCCACCGGTAGGGCACCGACGAGATGGTCCAGACGCGGTGAGGAAGACGGTGGGCGGGAGTTTGCATCGTGCGGTCCACACAGCTTATGACCGCAGTCTATGCAGAAACACTATTATGTATATTGTTTTAAACTTTCATGGTCACTAACATAGGTAATTGAAGAAACTTGCGGATGAGATTTTATGAGTTACTCCGTGACCATGGCGCTTGCAACAGTGCCGAAATATCGGAAACTCAAAATTAATATAAAATTACACTATAGTATCTGGTCGCGATCCTCATCAGTAAGTGGCCGAGGCAGAAGAAGATAGTGAACTGAGTTTGTTCCGGCGTTTCTTCTCAGCACTTGCCATATGTTTGTCTCGAAGCGCTGGTAGGGCCCAAAAGATAAGGAGACATGTAAAGTGCCCCATAAGGGCTACCTTTTCTTTTTTTATTATTTTCTATTGACGTTCATAAGTGCCACTTGTGGTCTAAACTGAATAAATATTTGTATAAATATATGAAGTCCACAGGTGGTATAATAATAATTGCGTTGAAATAACAGATTTCTTTTAAATACATACCTACATTTGTTGCAAAATAGCAACTACATAAGATGTCGCTATTTACCTTGATGTGCCGTGATCTATACCTAATTGGGCACACAGTATAATGTCGTTCAAAGCGTCCAAGTGACTTTAATGGGCGATGAATCGCATGCGCCCGCGTCGCGTGACGTCAGCGCGATGGCACTCAGCTTGCTCTTTCATTCAATTAATCGATTTGAACACAATTTTCAATAAAAACGATTAAGCTGTTAACGACGATGTTACTCGCACTGTCTGTACTTAATTTTAGAAAGTGACACAAACACTCGCTGGCTGTATTTTTAGTTAGTAACAATGTGGAAAGTTGAAGAATCTTTCAAAAAAGTCCAGTCAACTTATGGTACTTACATAAAAATATTAGGTAAGAATGGTTATTAGTAATGAGAAATCTTCGTTTAAATCCAAAAATAAAACCGTAGAAATGCTATCAAAAAGAAGATTCATTGATTGTATTAAATTGAACTCTTCTGTCAAGAAATTTTGTATCTTAAAGGATGTCAAGAATTTTTGTTCCCATAAGGAAGGACTGAGAAAATTATAGTTGTCAGGATCTGCGAATTCCATTATCCTTTTAACCCAGGGACTAAGAGTAGGCGCACAACGTTGATTTTTGGTTGGCCGATAGTTGTGCCCGATTTTAATTTGTATGAAGAATCGGCCAAATCGAATCGGCGTAGTGTGCGCACTCCCATACATGCCCATACTGATCAACTGCCCGACTAAACTATCGGCCGACGAAAAATCAACGGTGTGCGCCTACTCTTAATCTATATTAAAAACTTATTGGCTATAAAAATGTGCACCATGTGACCTTGTCGCAAAAATCAGCGTGTCCCACGTAAACGGTCCCCGCCAAGGTTACTGCAGCGCGGATGCCGCGGTGGGTGTCGTAATGTGGTAATGGCACTAATATAAATAGGATTAGTCGGATAGGGACCCCACGCGCGTAGACAGGACGAGCCAATACACGCTATCAACTGTTACGTGTAACTGCTTGCTTTTTTAT